TTTTATCTTTAAAAAAAAAAAACAGATTTTATGCTCACCTCTGGCCAGTTTCCGGAATCGGTTTTTACAAACTCTCTCATCCTCCATCGCACAAACAAAATAAACAATAATTACCTAACTATTAAAATTATTATTATTTTTCTTAGTGGTTTATGGGAAATAAAACACGAGTATAATTTTTATGTGTCTTTATTCCATACCTTCTAGTTTCCCTAAAGACTTTTTCAAATTTTCCCAGGGAAAAACATCATTTCTCTTTTTTCTTCAAATTACACTGCCCCAGCTCACTGTTTTTTGTTGTTAATTATTGTTTATTTTGTGATGATAGAGGTAAATTGGCCAGCCAGGGGCCTTATTCTGTAAAAAACGAAGCGTTCGATTCGGTAGAATTTCTTCGATTGTGACGTCATTTTCGGTTTGCTAGCGCGGAAGCTATTCCGAAAATGCCGAAAATGACGTCACAATCGAAGAAATTCTACCGAATCGAACGCTTCGTTCTTTACAGAATAAGGTCCCTGGGGTCACTGACCTATGGTAAACAAAAATCACTTTTATCGTTTTCGTACTTTATACTGTGCCGGATTAGTACAGATATCGATTTCTTTGTTTAATTCGCATTTATAGACAAGGAAAGAAAATTGTCGATACTAGTCGATACTTCAATTAATAGATGTCGTTCTCCTATTTCAAATTTCAAGTGAAAAGTAGAGCTGTACCAGTCGATACGCAAAACGATATATGCCTCCTTTTTTGTCCGATGTGTTCAAAAAAAAAAAAAAGATTTGTTTGAAAGATGGAAATTTGACAATCAGTAATTTTTGATTGGTGAAAAAATATAGCGCAAAATTCAAATAATCTGCTTTTTTTTCTTTCAATTTCTGGCTTAAGATTTTTAAAAAAAATTAACCAACCATACTGTTATGTAGTACATAAAATACACTTTCGTTACAGATAAATTATATACCTAATTTTGATTGAGTGCAAGAGGTCTGCAACCAATGAGCGAATATTCAGCTAACTAAAATTCATAAAAAATTACTAACGTACAACTATGGGAGAATAAAGACTAGTTGCCTTTCGACCAACTATTTTAGGGGAGCCTTAACGATAAGTATTCCTTAAAATGACAGTCTTCCATGGAGAAATGTCAGTTTAAGGAATACTTATCGTTAGGAGGGCTCCCCCAAATTAATTTATGGAAACGGCCAAGATCACCTAATTTCCCTCGAAAGTGAGAAGGACTTGGCCGACTCTATGAACTTATCCGAAATTTTTCGCGATTGGGCTAAATTAAAAAATAGAAAAATACGTATAGACACGGTAGAAAACTAAGTTAGGTAGTAGAACTTCAATTTGAATGAAATTTGTTACTGCATTTACATATAAGTATAACATTTCTACTAATCTAATTTTTTTTTTAATCGACATCGGCAATTAATCATAAGACGTTTTCTGTTTGTTATTTATTCTAAAAAGGGCCCCATACACTACGGTTTTCATCGCTGCGATGAAACACGTCGTTCCAGAACCGAAGTGTGTGGTAGAAAAACACGACGGTGTTTGTGGGGTCCTTAAAGGCCGCATACACTACGTTCTTTCTCGTCGGTTTTCATCGCCACGATGAAACACGTCGCCGTCGTTTCAAAACAGAAGTGTGTGATAGAAAAACCCGACGTATGGGGCCCTTCAAAGGGCCACACACACTACGATGAAACACGACGGTTTTTATCGCCGCGATGAAACACGTCCTTCCAAAACCAAAGTGTGTGGTAGAAAACCGTCATATTTTTCTACCACACGCTTCGGTTTTGGAACGACGTATGTCATCGCAGCGATGAAAACTATCGTGTTTCATCGTGTAGTGTGTGGGGCTCTTTTAAGGGCCCCACACACTACATTCTTTCTCGTCGGTTTTTATCGCCACGATGAAACACGTCGTTCCAAAACCGAAGTGTGTGGTAGAAAACCGTCGTGTTTTTCTACCACACACTTCGATTTTGGAACGACGTGTTTCATCGCGGTGATGAACACCATCGTGTTTCATCATAGTGTATAGGGCTCTTTAAAGTTAATGAATTACCTGCAAATAAATAACCTACCCCAAACTTTTTTTTGTGTTTTTTTTAAGTCAGTTGGCTCATTACGACGTAACGGCCCCTCCCCCCATTTCCAAAGCCTTCGGAACGCCCATGGTTTGGAGTTTATCCCGTGGCTATAGCAATGACTATTTGTTGGGTGTGTTCAGTAGACTGTCATTGAAAAAAAGGAGGATAAGAATATTCTTATGCACTATGTATGGGGTTTTGACCAATAATATTGACTGCCCAGGTATTTTGGAACAGCTTCCTTTTGCTGTAAATTGTAGTAATTCAAGAAGTAAAAATGTCTTTTACTTGGCCTACCCTAGAACCAATCTTTATAAGTGTTCTCCAATCTATAATTTGTGTGATCTATTTAACCTTTATGTCTCAGATGTAGATATAGACATTATTAGTCTTGAGGCATTCAAAATGATAATTGACAGGAAACTGCATTCATCCTAAATTGTATTTCTCTGTATGTTGTGATTGATCAACTTTGTTGAGATTGTAAGTAGGTTTTAAGAGTATATGTTAAATGTTATCTGTATTCTTGTATTATTACTATTAAGTCAGTATTTGTAATTGGCTCTGCTGTTGATACTTTGAATAAATAAATAAATAAATAAATAAATAAATAAATAAATAAATAAATAAATAAATAAATAAATAAATAAATAAATAAATAAATAAATAAATAAATAAATAAATAAATAAATAAATAAATAAATAAATAAATAAATAAATAAATAAATAAATAAATTTAAGTTGGAGATTGGGTCATGTTGTTGAACTACACATTGGACCTGATAAGCAGTGCCATGTAACTTCAGTGAACACTTCTAATGCTGTATATAAGCGACCTATATCAAAATTGTGTTCAGTTCCTATTGATCGGAGCTGGGCAAAATACTTTCAAAAAGTATTTAAATACTAAATACTAAATACCTAATAAAGACTGAAAGTATTTAAATACTAAATACTATTTGACTTGAAAAGAAATAGATACTAAATACAAAAAGTATTTAAATACTTATTTAAGTATTTAAATACTTTAAAAAGTATTTGAATACTTTAAAAGGTATTTAAATACTTTTATTAGGCAAATACCTTATTCAAAAACTTCAAATAGTACATTTCGTCACTAGTGCGAATAGACGGGCAGACGGCCTTTTTCAAACGAGGGCAATGATTTTGGAACGAGTCGTAGTTCGTAGCAGAAGGAGCCATCGGCGAAGGCGAGTTTGAAAAAGAAAGGCATCCATTCGCACGAGTGACGAACGATATTTTTCATAACGAAGTGTTGAAGGGCATAGATTCATTCCCACCATTAAACACAAGGTAATTGCCAAGGTCTAGCGAAAACAATAAATTCCTACTAATCAATCTTGTTCATCTGTATATTTTTTGCAGAAGAAAAAGTATTTAAATACTTTCGAAAGTATTTAAATAATTTTGATAGTAGTTAAATACTTGAAAGTATTTAACTACGTTTGAAAGTATTTAAAATACTTCAAAGTATTTAAATACCAAATATTTCAAAAAGTATTTGGATTCATAAATACAAATACCAGTTTTAGAAAAGTATTTAAATACTAAGTATTTAAATACTTTAAAGTATTTAAATACTAAAAAGTTTTTAGAATTGCAAATACTGCCCAGCTCTGCTATTGATGATGAAGTAACTGAATTATCAGTTTTTTTTTTTTTCGCAATGGTATTTTGGTACCTATTGCTAATATTTTCACCTAATCATATCTGATGTATTATTTGTTTAAGATTTTGTTCATTTTGTTATTATCTTTTGTTATTATCTTTCACTTTTATTATTTCCTTTCCACTCATCACCTGCAATTTGTATGTTTATTTGTTTATGTTGAAGAGGGGAGTGAGGGGACCCTTTCTTTCAAGGTGGGAGGGTATATGGTAAATACAAACTTCATTTTTTATATTTTCCATTTAGTCTTAGAAAAAATATTGTAAACTTAAAACTTGGCAATGCCAGCAAATCAATGCATAACTTTTAGAGTTGCAAGACGATGCCACAATAAAAGACATATTAAAATGTATCGGTCAGAAATAAAACCAAATTCTTGTACAAAATCTTGAAGTTTGAATTCATAAAAGTCTAGCATCAAACAGCTGAAGCATAGGTCTTAAAACCTAACGAAGCTCAGGAAAAAAATAAATTCGATTTAGCAAAATTTCGGTGTTTTGCGGATATCTCGGAAAATGTTCGGAATCTTTCAAATGTCACAGTACCATTTTATTGAGAGTTAAATTGCGCAACTTTTTCCAACATTGTAGCTCCAACCGTTCTCCAAATCCTAATGCTATCCTATCCTTATCTTGGACACACTGTAGAGTGAAAGTTGTTCTTACAGTAAAATGTCAAGCCACTGATCAATACACCACATTCACATTTTTCCTAAACATATTCAAATTATTGTGTTACTCATTCTAATATCATCTACTACTTTTTTTTTCCTAAAGAAACGCTTATTTTTGGAAATAGAAAATAAAATTTCAAGTAATCAAAGAGGGCTTTGATTACGAAAACGTACGTCGCATTATTGTTTCTTTATTGGTCAGGATTTTTGAAATGACATTACAAAATTTTTAAAAAAATATAGCTAAGACCTCGGCTAAGACCAAAGACTAAGACATACGTTTAAAAAATCATAGTCACCTTTGATTTACATTTTTTTTTGGAAACCTGTTACTTTTAACTGTTTCCCCAGTTGTTTCTCAAATTACTTTAAAAATAACTAAGAACAGTTGAGCCTTTTAACTTTGTTAGGGATTGAATTAGGAATTTTTGAAAATATTTCAGACAGAGGCTATAGTCAAATTCACATGTTACTTTACACTGAATTATGGTTACATGTTTATAACACTATGAATAAAAGAATAAATTCTTACTTTAGAATATCCTTGCCAATAACCTGCACATCTGGGGGCCATGATTGTTTAAATTGAGCATCAGGTACTTGCGAATATCCAGCAACTGTTAAATAGTTAACTAGAGCATCAAGCCAAACATATACAGTTTGCTCTTCATCGTTTGGTACAGGAATGCCCCAGTGTACCCTGGATGAAGGCCTGGAAACGGATATATCCGCCAAAGCATCGTCTGTATTGATAAGGTCTAAGAGAATTTTGTGAAATTTTTGAGGGATTACTACTTTTTCTGTAAAAAAATATTAAATAAATAAATAGTGAAATACGAAGATATAACAATGTTTTTTTACCATTTTGTTTCAACCAATAGACTAAATCATCTCTAAAAGAACTAAGTTTAAAAATATAATTTGGTTCTTCACTCCATTCTACTGGATGTTTGCTCTCAGTAGAAATCATTATTTGTTTGCCATCTTTTGTAACTTCTGTTAATTGCGAGTCACTCAGGAAGGTTTCATCAGGCACACAGTACCACCCCCGATAAGTTGATTTATAAATTAGGCCTTTTTTGGCTAAAGAAACCTAAAATTCTTTTATATTACTTTAATGTAAATTATTTTGTATAAAATATACAAAAAAAATTACCCAAAAGTTTTGTACAGTTTTTTTATGCCTTTCGTCGCTGGTCCTAATAAAATCAGTATACTCCACACTAAAATTGTCAGCTAAATTCCTATATTTTGAAGAAATATCCCCGCAATATCCGTTGAGGGTTCTATTATGAGCTTTCGCCGCTTGCTGAATTTTAGTTCCGTGTTCGTCGGTTCCAGTAGAAAATTTCACTTTCGCATGTTTATTAATCAATTTCGTCCATCTCTGAGAAGCATCGGCTATTACAGAGCTATAGAGATGACCAATGTGAGGCTCTATAAAAAAAAAGGGATAGGTTAAACAAAACCGTCAATATAGGTCTTCTTAATGCTTGAGATTGAGGAGAGATTTTTCAAGCTTAGTGCACAGATAAATATAATTTTGACGTTAGATACCAGCTCATCTGATGGACACATGGACACATTGTCATATTGTCCGTCGTTTTTAATCTGACCCTTTACTTATGAGGAGTGAAGGGGTGAAACTTATGGCAAAAACAAATGTGAAGTCAGCAGGGTCCTTATTCTTGAAACAGTGGAGCAGCGTTCCCAGGAGAACGAGCGTTCCGTCTTTCTCGATGATATGCAACTGATAATATAAGTAACAAAGACGGAACACTCGTTCTCCCGGGAACGCTGCTCCCTTATTTCAAGAATAAAGCTGCAGGTGACCCTTGGCGTTCTAATGTAGGGAGCCACCAGCTCAGATTCCTTTGGAGCATCAGAATAAAATCGACGGACTTTACAAAAACATCTATACACTAGAATTGTCAATTACCTCTTATGAGGTCATAGATATCCTAGGGAGATCATGTTGGAGCATGTTATCAAGAAAATGAAAACCTATTGATTTGTATAATGGCAGTTGTGGGCTCACATAGATCAAGAACCACCATACATTATTATCATAACAAATTTGTGGTATGGGGCGGGGTGAAGGCTTGAGAATAGGCGACGCTAGTTTCAGAACATTTTCATTGGATTGTGATGGGGATTCTGATCTATTTTGGCATTTCATGTAGAAAAGAAAGATTTTTATGTATTATTAGTTGAATAAAACTAAAATTATACAATACACATATAGAGTTGTTGAAGTTTATCGAAAAATAGAAAAGAACATTGAAAAAAAAATGAGAATATGTCCTGTTATAGTTATTTACTCTATTAATAATGGGTCGATTCTCGATAATCTTGTTTTTTTTTTATAGAATTTCCATCAATGACCTACCGGAGAGCCTGATGACCTCTACGAGGTTAATGTTTGCTGATGGTTTTAAATTGTTCAGACCAGTAAATAATAAGCATGATTTTGTTATACTCCAGAATGACCAAAATTTAGTGATGAACTCGATAGTGGACTGGTTTAAAAATAATAAGTTTTTAAATTGAATTTTTACAATAAAGCATATTTTGATTTGATTTGATAAGATATCTGTTAATAGTGAAAAATGCTGCGAAAAAAGTATCATATTCTAGAAAAGTAAATGTATTTATCGAGGACTACTACTTTGCAACTTGTGAACTGAAGACGTGTTATGAAGTCAAAGACTTGGGAGTGATATTTTGGCAAAACTTTAAACTTGACAGTAATTACAATTATATTATAAATAGGGCTTATAGGTATTGTTATGCGTAATAGTTGGGCTTACTAAGAATATCCAAATAGCTACGAGACTTTATAATTCTCTAGTGAGTTCACACTTGGAATATTCTTTTAAAATCTGGACACCAAGTACTCATAATAACAGTAACAAAATTGAAAAGGTTCAAAAACGATTCTTACAATATTTAAATGTTAAAAAGAACAGCAAATATCCATTTATGGTCTCATACACATCGATGCTGAAAAGCTTCCATTTGTGTAAGTATGTTGTGATATTTATACTGTGATATCTATTTATAATATCATCAATAATTTGAAGTACTCTGATTGTGATCTTATATAATATGTATTAAGTTCAAGGTGCCAAAGATAAATTTACGCATACTTATAATTGTCTATTGATCACTTTTATGTCAATAATTTGAGCCCATCGCCCCTTGTTCATAATGGTTGTGTAATGAAATGCTGTCAAATAATGTATTGCCTGATATGTTTAAAAGATTAATTTAAATCGAGGTTTAAATATTAGCCTTATGGCCATTTCCACCAAACTATAACTAAGCTTTGATTAACTATGAACCCCTTAAAAGTTAAGGGACGCTCAAATATAATTTCGTTCCACCATAGTTTTTGAGTGCAAGCTTAGCTAAGTGTCGTGAAGCTTTGGCAACATTGAATTTTAATTGAAAGATTTGCGTACTTTTTCGTTTTTACATACAAGTCGTGTCCACAAGTCGTGTCAATGTTATCTGTCATTCGACGTTTCCCGCTAATTTTTATTAGATGAAATTAATAATATTAATAATAGTTGTTGCTGTTGTCCGAGTTCGGTTTGTTTCATATTTCATAGAGGAGAGGTTTAGATATTCGTAGTTTATCCTGCATTCTGCATTGCGTGTGCACGAACACGAAGGTGTCTAGAGCAGCGTGGAGTCGGGGAAGAGAAACAAACAGGGACAGTTTATTCAAAAAAGCCGGACACCCAACTATACAATAAAGGAAAAAGTGCTGCTATTATCACTAACGTCAAAAAATGAGAACATAATCGAAAATAAAAATGAAAACAGACGGAGTATCTACACCAGACATTAGAAAATTGAGATCATTATTTATCTCAATTCAATTTTAACGTTGGGTTATGTCAACAAAACATATAGGTATGATGCAAATTGCTTGCGCTTATCATCCCCACTTTGTTAAGGGAGGAATAAGCCTAGAAATTTCTATGCTTAGTTAAGCTTATCTTGATGAGACTTAGGTGAGACTGGTGGAAACAAAATTATAATATAAGCCGCACTTAACGTTAAGTAAACTTAAATTTGCGTTGGTGGAAACGGCCATTAATGAATTAAAACACTTGCTCAGGCTCCATCAGGGCATAAATCAAGCTTGGATTAGATAATTGCTATTTGTTTGTTGTTGTATAATGTTATTTCTTGTGAAGGGGGTGATTCGTCGGTTAGGACAAGAAAAATAAAAGGCCTGTTAAGTCTTTGCCAACGTTTCGCCCAAAAGTTTTGGGCTTTATCACAGCTAAAATATTTATTAGGAACATCAAAAAAGTGCTCAAAAAACTGAAGTTAACATACCTTGTCCTTGAAAAATTATGTGGCCAGAATTATATAAAATAGTGCGAGATTTTCAGGATGGAACATTCCATTGCACATAACAAAATCACAATACATTGATAAAAATGGTAGAAAGACAAAAAACACAAAAATATAAAAATATGAAAAATACAAAAATTAGGACAAAGTGATTACACAGATTTAAGCAAAGCAATGACAAATTAATTATTATCAGTAAACACAGTGACACCTAACGAAAAGATTTAAAAAATTGTTATACTCATACTCATACTCAATATGCTTTATAAAGTTTGTGCTTTTTTAAAGATAATTCCCCAAGTCAAAAATTCAGTAACTATGTTGGCAACACAAGCCTTTTCTACATAAAAAAATTGAAAGCATTGACAATTTTACATTGCATTGCCAATATAATGTCATTTTGACTTTTATCCTCTAAAAATACAAACAGATTTTATGCTTTATTGTCTAAAAAATATAAATTTTTATTGACAAAGCAGATAATTTTATATACTAATTTATATACTGATCTACATTAATAGATACACAAACTCGTACACAAATCACACAAAATCACATAAAAATCTTAACATATAATTTGACTATTAACTATAAAGAAAGCAACAAATCATAAATTTATCAAATTACAATAGATGGCGCTTAAATTATTGGTATCAGTTTTATAGTTAACTGCCAAGCTTTTATATTTATTGATAAATAACATTTCTAGAATGTTTCGCTTTTTCCAGTTTTCCTCTCTTATACACACTGACAGATTGTTAAAATTGAAATGATGGTCACTCTCAAAATGATAAGTCGCCAATGCCGTTTTTTCTTTTTTATCAATGTTAATAATTCGACAATCATATTGGTGATATATTCTTTTTGAGAGCTTTTTGCTTAGTTTCTCCTCTCCTATGTACAATCTGTCACAATGAATAGAATCAATCCTATACAACTAAGTTAGAACTATCACAGATAGCAGTTTTGTCTTTGGTTTAAGTAAATAAGACACCTACATTCTTGTTTGTATAAAGAACTACCCTAATGTTATCTTGTGTTTGTAAGACTTTTAATAACTTGGTGCTGAAGCGACGAATCACCCCCTTCATTGGATACTGATAGGACACAAATTTCACTTAGTTATTTCTTATTTTATGTACTTTATCCTTTTTACTACTGTAATAAATAAATAAATAAGGCGTAACCCAACCCACTTGGTCAAACTATACTATGGATAATTGCGAGGATAATCAAAATTAGGGCAAATCCTATCTGCAAATTGGGCTAACCAGAACTATTCAATTCAATTCAATTCAATTCAAATAAGCTTTATTGTCCTAATTTTTTCAAAAGATCATTGACAAAGCAAAACCTAATTCTAAACAATTTTTTTTATACCTATTACTACCTAATCTATGTCAACAGTAAATAGTTTCGTGTGTAAAAATACAAATATAAAATTTGAAACACAGAAAAACAGTATAAAATTTACGAGCATGTAAAATCAACATTAAAATAAAATCAAAAACATTCACAAGATTATCCGACAAACAAACGAAGTTTTAAAATTTATAAACATGATGTACACTTTAAAAAATTGAACGATTAACAAATAAACAATTAAATACAGGTAAACAATCTAAATTTTCCAAACTATCCAGATTACACAAGTCCAGGCTATACAAGACCATCAACAAGACCATCAACAAACCGCGCTTTGGCTTCACCTATTATAAAACTCTCCCAAACTATAAAAAGTTCCACCAATTAAAAATTCTTTAAGCTTTGTTCGAAACCTTTTCTATACATTTATACTTTTAATGTCATCCGGTAACTATTAAATATCTTTATTTACGACTAATGTATAATGTGCGTATTATATTCGTGATTTTGGCAGTATAATGACATGTTATTCCTCCAGGGATTAATGACGAGTAGCGGGATTAATGGTCATTATTCCACAAAAGTGTCAGTGTCAAACGTGTAGTGCTTGTGGATTTGTATTGAAAATTATGAGACGGATGAAATTTGTTCATTGAAAATCTCAAATAAATTAATTTGTCGTAAATAAAGTAGAGTATACT